AGTTTCTATAGTTCTCACTGTGTGATATTTGAATAACCTTTTGAGGATTTACTTTTTTAATCAAAAGTGGTAATACTACTATTATATTCAAAGCGTTATTCTAAAAGTTGAATAAGATAATGCATAGAAAATGGTAATTCGGTGTTTAATATTATGCTGAATTTATTTCTTAATAGTAGCAATAATTTAAATAACATATGCTAATTTTTATAAAAAACAGAGTAGTATTATTAGTTAAGTGAAACTAGTGTAGTAAGTGCTATGCCCAGTTTTCTTGTTTTGCTTATTTTACTTTATATTAGGCATTGTTAAACAAAAATAATTTTGGTATCTAGTTCCACAGCTTTAGTAGCTACAATTTTAATAAAAGTTTTATCAAAGTTATTTACATTTTAAATAAATTACAACAAATATATTTTTCTCTAGAATTTCATTAGAAAGCTGTAGTTAAGGGTACAAAATTTGTTATGTAAAATGAGTGATTCAACTGAGACCTAAGGTATGGCAGATTGAAGATAGTTAATACTCTACTAATAATACTCTATTATATATTTTCAATTTACTAACAGAATAGATTTTAAATCTCCTCAATATACACAAATACACACAGTGTTAGCTGCTTAGAGGTAATAGATAAGGTAAGTAGCTTGTGATAATTATTTCACAATGTGTATGTATATCAAAACATCAAGTTTTACATTTTAGTATGTCAATATGAAATAATTTATGTCAATGGTATTTCAATAAAACTTAAAAAGAGAAAGCTGTTGTGGACAGTATGTATGATGTTGAGGTTTTTCAAACTGCAATATAGTACCTTCAGTGCATAGTGAGGACTTGAACCCTGAATAAAGCAACAGAATACATTCAGCCAATTCAAACTTCAAAGGGAGGAATAATGCATCTTTTTTTTTTTAGTTGAATTTTGCAGAAGAAAATTAAATTCAGAGCTTCTCAATGATTCTGTATTCCATGTCACAAACAAGGCATGGATAGAAGAGTCACGTACTTTTGGAAGAACTAACAGAAAATGTAAGGTACTTCTTTTGTGCTGTTACAAATTGGATTTCTCTTTCTTCCCTTGAGAAGCCAGACTGAACAATAAAATACTCTTAAAGGAGGATTGCTGAACACCAAGGCCATGTTTTTGAAAGCCAAGTAGATGAAGAAAAGAGCTGTATGCTTGGCATTTTGAATCAATTATCAGTGAAATCCTATGATGCCATTCAGCATAGAGGCCCTTAAGTCAAGGTTTGCTTTCGAAGTATTCTCTGCTTTTAGTAGGTTTGGCCTTGAGCGTTATAAAAGACTTTTTTTTTTTTTTTTTTGCAAAATACAACTTTCTAACAGATAAAGATATTCATTTTATAAAAGGTAACAGAAAGTGAGTACTAATTTTACTCTTAATATAGCCATAATATACTTAGCTATGTTGATTGGTGTCAGTAGGTTCAAGGCTAGGTTCCCATTGATGGTTTAGTCTTCTGTAGTAAAAAAGACACTCATACTTCTAATATCAGTTCAAACAAGTTTGTATGGATGTAAAACATCACTATTTGTCTAGGATGAGGAAGAAAAAAAGCAGATATAATATACAGTGTATATATATATATATATATATATATATACACAGTATTATATATTGTGTTATACTGTATATATACAGTATAACACAATGTCTTATACAAGATATTATTGAAAATATCAAATACAATGTAATTTCAAATAATCCTCAACAATTCATAGATAATGAGCCAGAAATAGAATCAATATTATTAAATATATCTGTCCTAGCAAAAGAGGATGTTTAATTTGTGGAAAAGAAATATTTGAAATTATTTAAAAAAACAATTTATTTGGGGTTTTTTAAATTTTACAATTTTTAACTAACACACTTGGATTTTTCCCCAGTTTTAACCAGAATCACTTTAAAAAAATCTTCCTATATAAAACCTATTTACAAATTTAGAGAGGAAGAAGGGGAGAGATTGGTTGTATGTGTACAGACATAACGAAATTGCAGGGACAACAGTTCACATCCAGGGAAGGACAAATGAGCTTTAGCGTGGACAATGTTGTGTTTTAGCTTTTCATTCCATCATCTGCTGAGTATTCAGTGATCTCAGCACTGCTTTATCTTGAGCATGCTTGTACCTCAGCGACAGAAATGTCAGCCTCCTTAGAAATTCTGGTTGAGTTCTTTAATTTTATAGTATTTAAGAAAAGTCTGTTAATTTCAGGTTGTGAAAATCATGTGTATGTTTTTTCACATTAACTCATAATCTGGTTAAAGAAAATGCAGCCAAGTAACCAAGGGTCCAAAATAAGATCATTTTACTTGCTTATTTGTTTGATAATTTATATATTTTCTTTGACACTTTTAGCGGCTTTCCATAATCTGAGGAAATGTGTTTCTTTTATTAAAGACTGCAGAGCATACTCTCTCCCTAGTTTATATCCCTTAAAGTAGAATTGTTGGATTAAAGAGTGTACATTTTGATAGGTATAGTCAAACTGACCTCTAAAAAGGTTTCACTAGTTTTATATTCCCATGGCAGATTCTTTGTATTTTGTTTTCTGACTTTAAATGTTCAAATAAAGATTGTGACCAATAAATTAATGATTGCATTTGAAAGTTTTTGTAAATACACACTGACAAAAGATTGTGCCTATGTCCTTACCTCTCATTACACACTAAGTTTATAAATCTTGCTGATATGATAGGAATATAATACTATCTCTTTCATTTTGAATAAACTTTAAAATCTGCATAAGTACCTAGTCTGTACATTTGTTATGTCCTTTGTCCATTTGTAGATGAATGTATTTTTGAGAAAAGCATTTAAAATTTACCTTACAAGTGGCTTGTTTGTAAATGAATTTTCAAATGTATAAACTCAGAATTACAAAATATATTGCCATGGTGATAGGAAAATTTTAGAGCTTGTCTATTTTTGCCAATACATAATAGTAGAACTCACAATTACTGTGTCAGTGCCTAATACTTAATAATTGTTAAGCTATCAAATGAAACTAAGTAAAAAATCAGCAGCCTTGTAAACAAATAAAACTTTATTAAAAATAATGGGATGCCAGTTTGTTGCTTGATGTGAATTAAAAAGACAAGGAAATTGAAGAGATAGAAGAGATGGGGATTAATGAAGTCTATCTGTATTATAAATAAATACTATTTGTGCGGTAGAATAACATGACTTGTAATAACAAATCATGAATGTTAAAAAGTTATGATTTCTGTCTTTCTGAGATGTTTTGTATATTAAAATAAATATTCATGAATAGGGAGTATCAGTTCAGGTTATCTATGTGAATGTAAATTTTCGAATAACTGGCCACTTAGTGTTCATTGGATCATGCTCTTGAATATGAATTTTCTAGTATCTCAGATGCACTGTGGATCTGACTCAGCTCATGAATATTCACACACACACAACTGATCTTTCTGAAAGTAATCACATCCATAAAGATGAAAATCTTGTTATTTTTCAATAATGAGAACCACATCAGGATGCTGGTCCCAGAACAATGTTACAATTCCCTTGTTTTTGTTGTTTCCTTTCTTTCATTTTTGTAAATGACACAAACTTTAAAATATAAACACATATGCAGTGCATCTTTCTTGACAAAAGCTCTTTTTTCTTTTACCTTTGTAAAAGCTTGTGCATGATTTAACTGATTGCTTTGTTGGCTTTATTTTCTCTGGATGTAGAAAAGAATAAAGTAAAACAATGTCTCCTGTCCTTATCCTCAGCATATTTCCACTATTGAGGCCTGATCAGAGTTTCTAAATGCAATGTGACCCAATCTGCTAACCTGCTGGAAGAATGATACATATTTTACATATAAAGACATGACATTATATATTCGATCTTTTGTGTACAGGGAAAATTACATTCTATGCCAACTAAACTTTTAATATGTTAGTATGCGATGATCACAGAGACCCATATTTATAAATTATATAGTATTTTAACTCACATCCCACATCTAAATGACTTTCATTGTAATGCATGATATACTTATAATACTTATCCAAGATTACTGAGAAGTTATTAAATAGACATCAAAAGATGCCTGGTCCTTATTAGCCCCATACTATAATTAATTGAATAACCAGGAAAATAAAGGAGAAATCAAAACTATTGTTTATAAAGTTAGTAATAAAGTAACAACTAGTTCATATTTTCTTTTTTTTTAAAGAGAGAAAGAGAGAGAGAATTTTTTTTTAATATTTCTTTTTTAGTTTTTTAGTGGACACAACATCTTTGTGTGTGGTGATGAGGATCGAACCCGGGCCACACACATGCCAGGCGAGCACTCTACCGCTTGAGCCACATCCCCAGCCCGAGTTCATATTTTTTAATACTGATGTGGTCAAATCTCTGAATGACATTTTCCTTTATAAAACTATGCCTTTTTGTTGTTTTGTAACTACAGTTAGTAAGCAGTGCTCAATGACAATTTTTTTTTTAAACTCTGAAGGCTAATTTATGTTAGTATACCACAAGGCACCATCAGTAGTGAAGGGATGAGGTCTTTAAACTGCAGAAGAACTTTGTAGGTGTCTTCCAACTTGTCATGAGGATTAGGAGGAATGTCACCTAGCCTTCCTGTTTTGTTGCTCAACAGGTAGAGTAGATTAGTGCTCTACCCGCTTGATTTGAACACATCTGGAAGCCCTTTTGTTTGTCTCTTCAGAGAATGGTGCTTCTATCCCATAGGCAGGGGCAAGAGATGCTGCTAAACATTCTATAGTGCATGGGTCACGCCTCCAACAGAGATATCCAGTCTAAATGTCAGCAGGACCACTTCATATCACATTTTAACTGAAGAAATAATTCTGTCTAAAACTTAAGATCACCACTGATTTATAAAAGTTTTACAGATAAAGCAATGAGAATGTGTAATATTTGTAAATAAATGAAGTCAGATTCAGTTTTTAATTATAAGTTTTAAAATATATTTATTTATTTATTTTGTAGCAACAATCGTGTTAAATGAACTCAACTGGACAAGTGCCTTAGATGAAGTTTTCAAAAAAAATCGGGAGGAAGACCCTTCATTGCTGTGGCAGGTGTTTGGCAGTGCTACAGGCCTGGCCCGATATTATCCAGGTAAGTGCATAGTGATTCAATCAGATGAAATTGTAAGTATCTCCTTCAACATTTCTTGTGAACACTCTGTTACCTTCTCCTATATTGATATCCCACCAGTTTTATACAACAACAACAAAAAATTATCTTCACATAGCTCTAAATTGTTTTACACGACTCTATGTTAATCAAAATCATTTTGAAATGAAGCACCTCTGAGAAATGACTGTAGCACTTGATACCTGGGCTGGGTCAGGCTGCAGTGAGACCATGAGGAGGTATTCTTAGGTCTGTACCTGGCACAGGAGGCTACCATGAATTCTAAAATAAGAGGTAGGAATCCAAATGCTTAGCATAGATCTGTCAGTCACATTAAAGAAATGAATAGACTTTTTAGACACTATTTGAATATTTCTTTCCAGGTTTTTGGTCTACACTTGAAATTTCATAACAATAGTGTTAGTATTTGTCTTGAATTAGTGAATTTGTGAATGTGAAGAAGAAATAAGATAAAATCACAAGGAAAACAGAGCTCTCTTATGTGTCAGTTTGTATTAATTTTGAAGGCATCTCAAGTACATAATCATATATACTTGGTGAAGATGAATGTATTTTATAAATTAAAATGAAAAATAAACCCCATCTTATAATGTTCTTTATTTTTATAATGGAGGGTAAGAAGAAATAAATGGCACTTCCTATAACAAAATAAAAAATTAATAACTAGTATGTCCTGAGAGCCTTTGAAAACACTTTAGGTGAAATATCTGTTGTTATTTTTAACTTCTTCACCTTTAGAAGAGCTGACAAACACAAAATGCCATTTCTTTCTCCAAGGCATGACTTGAATTATCAGAGAGATACTAGAGAATGTGGTATTCAATGGCCACAATATGACTTTAAATAGAATTATTTTTAAGACATGAGTTTTTAAAAACATGTTTAGCAAATTGAATTATTCATAGTAAATAGTGACAGTACAAAGTAACTTAGTAGTAAAAAGGAATGAATAAAAAATTAAACTATATATAACTTTGTATTATGATAAAAATAAATAATAATATAGACTTAATTCTCAAATTAGTTAAAAACGTTATAATGTCTGCATGGTTACAAATGCCAGATCATAGGACTGGTAATAATTCCTTATTTTGGAAATCCAGAGCACCAGGAAAGGCCAAGTTTGTATTAGATATTGAAAAAATGAATTATAATAAAACATTAGTGTTAATACTTGATATGGTAAAATTATCACCTAGGTTTTTATCCCAATTGAATTTTCCATTACACAAATAATTTTCTACTCTAGTAACATACTTCTAAAACTCTTAAGTACTTTTATTAACATGTCAAATACTATATATCACAAGATTGTGAATTTTAGTCTATAAGATCATATCAAGGAAAAAAACCAACAGTACTCATGCACATAATAAACCTGACATAATAATACTTAAAATTACATTAGGTTTTATAAAGCATTTTCAAGTACAATTTTAAAATATAGGAATTAGATACTTGATGTTCTATCTAATAATACACAAATATGAGAATGTTTTTAATCATAACAGAATTATGTAATTTTTAAATATTTTAAAAACATTACCTTTGTATAAAATTCCATATATAATAAGTTGAGAGAAAAGGAAGAAAAAGAAAAGTGAGAGAAAATTTGGATAATAATGAAAAAACAAGAGTTTAGGATCACAGAGAAATGGATGATGCAGAGAAAGAGAGATAAAGAAGTGTTACTAGAGGGAGAGGCTGAAGAGAGGCAAGAAGGAGTACCCGTGAACATGGGGAGAGAGCCAGAGGTGCAAGGAAAGATAGGTTCTCTAATGAATCCTGCAAGGTGGGTAATTTTACAAACAGCAGCTAACTTTCAAACTTACAAAATCGTATTCAATAATTCTTTCATTTTAGAAACTAAGTGAGAGATGAAGTCTTTGTTTTTGTCTTTTTTTTTTTTTAACCCTAATAGGTATTTTCAAATGTGCTGACATTTGTTCTCTTCATCTTGAGAAGGATCATTAGATGTTTAATTTGGCTGAATCCATGTCGTCCTCTGGGGCATTCACTGTGAAAGCAATCCTGTGCCCAATATGTAGTTTTTAAGTCAGGGTTTGTCAGATAAATCAACTCAACAGAAGACTGTGAGGCTTGGCTCATTGACTTGCTGGAGGAAGTTTTTAAAATGGCTCTCTTGACTGCTATGGAAAATGTTTCATGCAGTTCCAACTGTTTTAGTGATTCTGTTGCTGAGTTGCTCTTTATGATGATAATGACACAATAGAACCAACCTTTTTTATTAAAAGCACTAAGACAATGTTATAATTTTAAAAGCAGAATAACCTGTTTATACCACATCATATTTTCAGTATACTTAACAATTTAAACATGTTTAAAATACTTTTTTAAATGAAGTTTTTTTTTAATTTCTTAATAGGCAATCCTTCCTTTTCTTATCATTTTGATATTAACCAAACTAATATAAAGTGCCTCATCCCTGCTTGTCTCTTAATTCAAAGGTTAGAAACATCCTATTAATATCATCTGTTATATTAATGACGAACAGAATACAGAGTATGCTCCATAGTTGAATTTTTATATATGAGACTTGGCCTTCCAGGAAGGATGTCCCTACTAGCTGGATAGACCTCCTGAACTTTGAGTTTTAGTCATCATATCTGAAAAACAGGGGCCTAAATAACTTCTTGGTTTAACTTCTGGAGGTGTCATGATCAATTAGATAATATGACAAGAAGTATTTTGAAAATGCAATTCAGACATTTCTTCAACAGTGCTTATCAACTATAATAATTTACCTATATCCAGCCCACTCTCCATCTAAACCATTAAGAGACATTATCAAGGTTACAAACAGTTGAGTTGGAAGCTGACATAGACATATTGAAGGAGATCTAAACATGACAGTGACAACGTAGAGGAGTTGGCCTATCACTTTAGCTGGGTCAGTTTTCCATAGGGTTGTCAGAAAAAAATAATGGATGCCCAGTTAAATTTAAATTTCAGGTAAACAGCAAAGAAATATTTAGTGTAAGTATGTTTTATGCAATATTTGGAAATATTTTTAGGAAAAAGGTTTTTTGTTGTTGTTCATTTTGAAATTTAAACCTAACTGGTTGTCATATACTACTTATTTCTTAATCTGTCAAAGCTGTCTATTTCACAAAATTGTTCTGAGGGTCAAACAAAATTTATTTCCTACATTCACTCAAATGCAGAATATTATAATACTCTTTCTCTAATTCTGTAAGATACCCATTTTTTAAAAATTTTCCTGAGGCTTCTTGCCACAGAGTAATAAAAATAATTTTTTTAAGAAACCAGAATCCTCTGATTCACAACATCCTAAATATATCCTTGTTCATTAAGATTCCAGTTACTGAACAGCCATATACTGTTGGAGTAAAGCAAACATTTTCCAGAACCAGAGAGCAAGTTTACAAATTCTTCTTTCCACACTAGAGGTGGTAGTGACCTTCAGAAGACCATCAGAAGAGAAACAAGGAGGACCATCATGGTTGAAATATTCAATTATTAGGAGCTAAAAAGCATTAAATATCTTTGTCATCCTATTGCCTGGATATAGGGAACATCTGCATGTGATCAGCTACCCTCATGGTTTTAGTATATCAGATTATTTAAAACACGTGGAAACACTAGCTTCCAACAAGGAGGTTACTAGAGCTGACAGGATCCGGAGCTGACTGTGAGAAGTAGTTTGTTTAGTTAGTAGTGGAAATTTGACTCCGGCATCTCTTTCTGGACTGAACATTTACCTGCTTTCTAAACTCTTGGTGTATTTGAAAATAAGCTTTGGAAATCACTGCTCACTCTCCTTTTGCTTCTCCCTTCTTGCATTTTTTTATCCCCACCCCCTTCTTTCTTTTGTCCCATTTGGAATATAGGTCACTTGTGTGTAATGATAAAAGGATTTTATTCTATGAGGGGAAGTTCTTGATTCATCTGAATACTGCCTTCATCATCATTTTATGCTTTGGCTAATGCATTGTTGTACTTTTGTATGTACTTCTTCACCAGTCACTTGGGATGCCGAACAAGATGATGTTAACATTATCTGCTGTTTGTGCAGGCCTGTAGCATTTTTTAAGTTCAAAGTGCTTGTTCTACAGGAAGAGTAGAGTAACTTGCCTCAGTCATAGAGCTCTTGGCATAGATGAAACTGGATCTTGAAATGATTTCATAGGAGTGCAGAATCCAATAGTGCTTACCAGAGGCTGGCATAGTAGGGATGAGGAGAAGATAGGGAAAGATTGGTCAAGAGATGCAAAATTACAGTTAGACAGTAGGAATAAATTCTGCTGTACTACAGGAAGGTAACTATAATTTTAAATATTGTGGTGTGTATTTCAATAACTAGAAGAGAGGATTCTAAATGTTGTCACTAAAAAGAAATGATAAATATTTGAGGTTTGGGATATGTTAAATACCATTATCTGATCATTATCCAATGTCTACATGTGTCAAAACTTCATCCTGTACCCTATACATAATGTATAATTTTGATGTGTTAATTTAAAAAAATTAAAAAGTAGCTGGAACCCATGTCTAATGATATCTTCATTGAATATAGCTTTTAAGAAAATTAGTTTGATTTATGGGTTCTTTCCTTTGGAGGTCTTAGTTAGTTTACATATATTGACTTCAGAGCTGTTAAAACTCTTTTCATAGATTTCAACTTTGTGAATTCTTATGCATTATACAAAACTGTAAGTACAAACTGCTCATTTCACCTATTAGGGTCTCCTGAAATTGTAACAATTATTGCAGTAATTGTAATTGTAATTAAGAATCGGTGGCTCATTGAAATGCCAATGTAGGCAACACTTACCCTGTTTAGATAATTAGCTGCATTTACAAAGAAAAAAAACAGAGAAAAATCTGTTTTTTCTGTGTTTTGTTATTTTTGTTTTTTTTATTGTTTTTTATTCTTTTATCTTTTTTTTCTTTTTTTTTTTTTCTTTACCTCATTTGTT